TGCCCCCAGTCCCCAAAACTGAGCTTGTGTTGAGCTGCAGAAGTTAGTAATTATATTACAAGTAGGTAATTTGTGCCTTAGGGAAGAAGCTTATCACGGCACATGTTCCATATAGTGCATATTGAATGCTAATAGAACAGTAATACTGTAACATGGATTTCTTTCAGGCACTGGGTACTGGATTTTCACAGTTTGCTCAGCCGGTGTTCCAGAGATGCATAAACATCATCCAGACTCAACAACTTGCAAAGGTTTTTATTTGACGTGATACCTATTTATAAGTTACTCAACAACTTGCAAAGGTTTTTATTTGACGTGATACCTATTCCAGAGATGCTTCACTAATGAATTATAATTGATTCATTTTAATTTTGCTTAAGTGGTGCTGATTTGAACCAATTATTAACCTGGCTTTATTCCATGAGTTACTCTTGTTGTTTTTATTTCTTAGTCAGCATTTGACTAAAATACTCCCTTTAATCATCTCAGTTAATTGGCTAAAACACCACAATGTTGCTTTTAGGTGGATCCTGTTTCTGCTGGGGCACAGTATGAGAAAGAGTTCGTTGTTTGCTGTTTGGATCTCCTCTCTGGACTTGCTGAGGGTCTTGGACCTGGCATAGAGAGCTTGGTATTTCAATTTTCCACAATAATATCTCACGTCATAGAATTGCACTTGTTGTCATGATTATATGACTTTGCTCTGTCGCCTTGGCTTTTATTATCTGGAAATTATTTAATTAGTGATGCCATTCTCTAGTGTATGCTACGCCTTTATTAAAAAAGATGCTAGGATGCTTATTTATGTATAATCCTTAGGTTTCACAAAGTAACTTGAGGGACTTGCTCCTGCAATGCTGTATGGATGATGCCCATGATGTCCGTCAAAGTGCTTTTGCCCTACTGGGAGACCTTGCTAGAGTAAGTTGAGAATTTTATCCGATTTTTGGTCCAGCAATCTTCTTATTCATTTTATGTTTTCCCAATTTATGCTCACGTGAGCCATTGGTTTCTCATATCAGTTATGTTTGTAGGACATTTGAAAAATAAGGGTTTTGTTACCTCTTCTTGAGTTTAGTTTCTAATGCCCTTACTCTGTTACTCACGAGATACTAATTTTTCTTTTAATTATGTGATTAGGTTTGTGCAGTTCATCTACATTCTCGTTTAGCTGAATTTCTCAACGCTGCTGCTAAGGAATTGGTATGTAAATGATCAATCTTGATTTGGTGGAGTGGTTCTATAACTCCTTAATTAACATTTTTCTTTCATCAGAACACCCCGAAGCTCAAGGAAACTGTTTCTGTTGTCAACAATGCATGTTGGGCTATTGGAGAATTAGCGGTTAAGGTATGTCTTTCTTCCTATTCTTCTTTCCCTCCTCACAAGAGAACTCTATGGATCAAATAAAAAGGCAATTTCTCAGTAAAGGCTAATATTAACATATTAGCAATAGATACTACTGCAATTTTTTGATATGGACTGACAATAACTATATTAACAATTGCTCACTCATGTGGACTCCCCATGCCATACTATTAACTGTATCACGTTGAACCCGACAGAACGCATGTGTAACTTTTTTCACAGGTCTACTGAACTGTGTACCGTACTTTATTCTGTTTCCAACTCAATGTATGTGTTAGGAAAGGCTGTTCTTCTCTTGCTATATATATTGGATGGAGAATAACTTTTATCCAAAACTTCAGGTTCACAAAGAGGTATCTCCTGTCGTTCTGACTGTGATCTCTTGTTTGGTTCCAATACTTCAACATCCTGAGGTAATTATCCATCCTTTAGTTTTTTTTTTGTTTGTTTTGCCAACTGTCCTGGGATTTTTCAGCACAGATTTGTCTTTTGATATTGCTGATGACTTGTTAAAAGGGGTTGAATATTGTTGATTCTACAGTTATTAATCTGAGAAATGGCTGAATACACAACATTTATTCTATCTTTTTAGGGCTTGAACAAATCACTCATCGAGAACAGCGCCATTACGCTCGGAAGACTTGCATGGGTTTGTCCAGAGCTCGTCTCACCACACATGGAGCATTTCATGCAGTCTTGGTGCATTGCTTTGTCCATGTAGGTTTTTCGTTATTACTCGTAATGCACAATAAGCTGAGAGCTGCATCCTTATTTAACTTATCCTTTTGTCCAACTCGATACAGGATACGTGATGACATAGAGAAGGAAGATGCTTTCAGAGGTTTATGTGCAATGGTAACTACTTAACTTTTCCTCCTTATCTACTATTCAGGCCAATTACCACCTTTATGTCAACATGTACTAGCATGTTACCTTATGGTTGCAGGTTAGAGCAAATCCATCTGGAGCTTTAAATTCTCTTGTTTTCATGTGCAAGGCTATTGCAAGTTGGCATGTAAGTGATAATTAATGAAACTCTGTTCCAAGTTTCTTTTTGTTCACATGACACAACAGTTTATCTTACACATCATATTGTGTTTCCCTATGACAGGAAATAAGGAGTGAGGACCTTCACAATGAAGTCTGCCAGGTCTTGCATGGATATAAACAGGTAAAATATTCATTGTTGATAATTTGAGTTCCTTCCCCACGAGTCTATTGAATTACTTGGAAGAGATTTAAAAAGAGTAGTAATTAAGTTGAATGCCTTTGAAATTTCGCCAGATGCTTAAGAATGGAGCATGGGAACAATGCATCTCGTCCTTGGAGCCACCTGTGAAGGACAAGCTGCTCAAGTATCGAGTCTAGTGATCTTCTTATACTCGGCTGACTCGGAACAGTGTCGTTTGGTCTGCTTACGTATTGTTATCCATTTACCTTCTTCTCGATTAATCATGGAGCCATTTGAGCCTTAGTCGCGTTTCAGTCATGATCTGCTTCAGTAATTCTGTCGAAACTTGAAGGTTCTTATATACTCCTGAAGCTTAAACATGTCTGGATTTGTTAAAAAGTAGTGTTTACTGGGAAACTGGGCAGAACTACATGGGATGTACTATTAGACTCTCTTGCCCTTCTCTCACGGGGGCTTTATACAGAAGAAAAGGTCGATCCAAAAGGTTCAGATTTTGTGTTTTCTTTTNGGTAATGGAAATTCTTTGATGGTGCTGGTGGGAGTTCCAGTCCACAAGTTCCACAAAGTTTTGGTAGAGGTATCCATATGCTTTTTATGTTTCTGGAGATTGTAATTTTATCTGGAGAAAAAGTCATGTTGTGTTTAAACTTTTTTTTTTTTTCCTCAGAGAGAAATAATGGCACATATGCCTTGAGCATGGTGAGTTTATGGATTTGCTTAAAGTGTTAAACATTGTATTTCCCTTTTCACAACATCCATTTTATAGCTGTGTTGTGGTATATGAATGGACTTGGAGTGAGTTTGGTATGAATGGACTTGTATTTGTTATTGTGACTTAATGCTGTTGTTGGGCTTCATATCGGTACCTTCTTATTAGATTGCACAGCGATTAGACCGTGAAAGTATAAAAAAATGTCATGCTATCGGTTAGTTATGTTGTGAAATTTAGGGTTTTATTTCAAAATCTCTTTGTTTTTAATGTAATTTATTTATGTAAAAGCTTTTGCAATCTAAATTAAATATGATCATTGTAGCTAATGGACAACACCAACACATGTTCTAGTTCTAGTAGAGTTTGTACTGGTTTTAAACCTGACTTGTTAGTCTACAACAATATCATTCTCGTATGTCTACACCAAGGCCTACCTTGTTTGTACAATATTGAAGTATTTATGATATAACAATTTCACATCTAATGTGATGATTGATGTGTGTGTGTAGAGGTAGTCAGTCAACTGTTCGAAATCGTCAATTCGTGGGGTTTTGAAACTGAAAAATTGGAATCAATTGGTTATATAGATGTTCTGATTCAAGAACCGTCAATATTGGTTCGGTTTACGAACCAACGGTTCTGTCGGTTTACGGTTCAAAAGTTTTTACTCGAGCCAAAAAGGTTGCAGCGAATTGATAGTTTATGCTCGAAGTTGGTTAACTGCTGAGCCCGAGCTCGAACCTATACCGAGCCTAGTTGAGCTCAAATCGTTAACCAAATAAGTTAAATAAACACGTTTGAGCTCAACTTTTTTATTAAAATTAACGAGTTAGAGTTAAAGAAAATTTTATTAAAAAAATTATTTTCGAGCATTAACAAGTTGAGTCAAAGCGAGTTCACAAGTAGCTCGTTTTGTTTAGCAACTCTAACTGTAAATTCCAATGCGAGTTCTCAACTGCAACTTTGAAATAACGGTTTGAAAAAATATATAAAACTGAAAACCGAACCGTGTAATTTCTGTTTCGATTCGAGTATGGAACCAACTCATTGAACATGTCTCCGTTTGCCAATCTAAATGGATATTTTCAATCGATTGGGTGTCTGACCAGGAAATTTCAAGGATTTCGGAAAGCATTTACTGTAGCATAAATAATTCTAACCTTTTTGTCCCCCATTTGACATGGACATGTGATGCCAATAAGGACCTTTCTGAAGAAGCAGCTAAAAAAAAAAAAAATGATATAAATTACTCTTTGTATCCTAAAAATTGTTTCATTTTCTGTTTCCATATAGATTTAAAAATTCAAAACCATTGTATTTAATTTCATCAAAAATAATAGTTTAAATAATAATAAAAAAAAAACTTGCCATTTGGAAAGAAAGGAAAAAGGTCTCACGGCACTATTAAAGGGAGTAAGAGAAAACAAGAACAAAAGTGTACACACTTTTCGCAATCCACATCAGTCTACAATAGTAAGGCCTCAGCTGTGTGTCCTACAAAGACCAAATATTTGAGAGAAAATAAAAATAACAAAACAAAACAAAATAAAACCGAAAAATTGTCAACCGACATAATCTTGCATGCACACCAAATGTTTTAATCCTTTGCCTTTGTGCTAATTACCTTAACTCTTAATCCCAGCTTATGAACTAAGGGGAAGAAAAAGAGTGTTCAAAACTTAATTACTATTAGTGAAATGACTCATCACTCATGATTACACTCAAATTTATTAGATAAATGACACGTATCTATGATAACGTCACAATTATATTCGTATCATAGTCAATCATCCAACAACAGAATGAAACAAGAATTGAAACATGATTTTGAAACTGAAAATTAATCGTTTTCCTCACTTAACCTATGAAGACTCGTGCCAAAATTTACGACCATATATAAAATCCCATCTTTAGTATCACCATAAAATTTTCATGCTTTCTCCATGCATAATTTCAAACATCTCTAAAAATTTGATTTCATCATCTCTTCTTATTATAGGAAATGACTACAGTCCCATTACAGAATCATTCCGTCAGTATTTTTAACCGTTTAAATACACATGTAGATTAGTGCAGTGTAGATAATCTACGGTTAAAAACATTGACGGAATGATTCCGTAACAGAACTGTATTCATTCCCCTTATTATATACTTTGGGTGCATCAATAGTAACTCCACAAATTTTCCGATTGGCTGCTCGGCCAATCGTCCCAAGGCGGCGACCCCATCCTCGGCAGGCTGATGAGCATCCCCTCCGCCATATCCACCAACAAATTCGGCATATCGAACAACACATCCTCATCGACATACTCATCACACCCACCACTACCGCTCGCCAAATAACTCTCTCCCGGCCGGTCACGATCCTCCGCCACCACGCCGCCGCCTGCCAGACCCATCATCTCCGCCGCACGTGCGGCCGCTCTCCGAATATCCTCCGGCGAAGCCGGAAACGGAACCGGAAACGAGCCCGCGCGGCCCGGGAAGTTCAACGCGACATTGCCGCGGCCTTTTAGGGCGAGCGCCGCCACGTCGTAGGCGGCGGCGGCCATCTCCGGCGAGGGGTAGGTGCCGAGCCATATGCGGGTCGTTTTCCTCGGCTCGCGAATCTCGGAGACCCATTTTTCGCCCCGGCGCCTAATGCCGCGGTACGTCGGGTGTTTTCCGGTGGTGGTGCGGCCGCCGGTTTTGGTGGTCTTTTTGGCCTTTTTGGGGGATGGAAGAGAGTGATGATGTGAAGAGTCAGCCATATGTATAATAATGTCACAATTATTATTAGGATAAAAATGACGATAGTGTTTTAGTTCTATGTATAGCAAAACATGGAAGCTAGGTTTTAGGAGATAGTATAAGGGAGGTCAAGTAATGTTTAGGTCTATAATAAGGTATATATAAATATATAGGTGATGAAAGATATGGACATCGGTAAAAAAGTGAACCCGTGGGGAATTCGTGGGGTTTGATTGGTAGGGTTCTTAGTGTGAGCTAATCAATGCTAGCTATGATATTAAGTTAGAATTTAGTTGAAGTTCTTAGTGACATTTGATGATGTCATTAATAACCTTTTCACTAACTTATTATTGTATTAGGAATTTTTATTGGAAAATGAAGTTGTTATTAAAATTATTTGTTTATAATAAATAATTTCAATTGTTGAAAATGTAATTGTTGGAATCCTCAAAATTCAATGGAATAATTTCATTCGAATTTTTCAACAAAAGTTACAACATTGGTAAATCACTGAAATTATCGTTGAATATATTATTATTTAAGAAATTCATGGTCAAGTTTAATTATTTTCATGCAGTGAAAGACATTTGTTATTAAAAAAAAGAAGAAGCATAAACTCTTATATTTTCAATGGCAATTCCAATGAATTTATATATCGTTGAGAATTTATATAGGACTATGCAATTTTAATTGAAATTATTTTATTCTACCAATAATTTTAACAATTGCAATAAGTAACTGTTGGAATCTTCAAAATCTAACTGAATATTTTTATTGCAATTTCGATTGAAAATTTGCAAAAAAAAGTAACATTGGAATATCTATTAATGGAATTACCTTTGAAACTTTGTTGAAAATGTTTGAATTTTCTATTGGAATTTGATCATGTTCTAGTGAAAAACAATTTAAAAAATTAAAAAAAAAAGCATATATAAACTCTCTATATATCTAGATAGAAANAAAAAGAGATGAGAGAAAAAGAGCACACGTCTCCATCATGGGACATAATCGAGTTGATTCATTGTAATTAACAGCAAAAGCAAACGTTTTCTTACGGTCTAATTAACTTTCATGAAAATATTTAAGACCCCATGAGATCACACGGACTTGACATTTGTGGATACTGCGCACATTTGCAAATTCCACACGTGATTATGTTGGTTTAAGTTATAATAAGTTCTAAATTAGTTTCTCATTTCCAATTTAACTATGGCTTAATTATAAGATACAAATTTATCTCGTCATATTTTACCACTATGGCTTTTTATGTGTAGCAATATGAAAGATTAGCATAAAGTTCACGTGTATTCACTATTGTAGTAAATATTAGGCAGACATGCATGCCAAATGAAAAATATATATCACTCATAATGTTTTTTGTTTTTTTTTCTAAATATAATTGATTAATTAATTAATTCAGTTAATTAAGTAATGTCATGAGGTCACTTTTTTGGTTGTTGGTGAAGAGAAATCATTTTTCATGGTATTAAAGACTATTGGCATGTCAAAAATATATCATGTCGAATTTGATTCGTTGTATGGCTGCGCCAAATCTATGATATTATCTGTTTGTAGCCTTTGTTTCCTTGCTTTTCAGGATTTTCTGGCGCGNTATATATATATATATAATTACTATCTGATCTGATGCATTTTAATAAAACATTTAATAAAACTCATTTTTATTTTCTTCCATAAGGAGTTACATTTTTTTTAATTAATTACTTACTAATCTGTTAAAACTGTTATACCTTAATATATATATTTTTATTATTTATTTTTTGTATCAGTTACTAAATTAATTCTAAATTTGGTAGCAAAATATTTAAATGTGTAACAGTTAATGTTGGAACTTAAAGTTGGTTGACACATTCAGAGCTGTAACCGCTATATTTGGTTGCATTGTTGGAAGAAAAATATGATTGACACATATTTTTTTTTTCTAAAAATCAAAAAAACCAATAAATTTTTTTATTTATGTTAATTTTATTAATATATGCCATAAATATAAAAATTATTTTATTCATGTTACTAATGTAAACGTTGCATGGTTAAAATAAAATTTAAATCTCAATTAATTTTGAATGATAAAAATAACTTAAGAAAAAGTAATAATTTTTATATGATAGAAGAACATGTCTAAGTAATAAATACAAACAAAATCATGTTTTATATCTGTACAAATGCACAAGATCAAATACTAGTGTATAGAAAAAGATAGGAGTGGAACCACCCTAAATACTTGGGTGGGCGCTAGCCTGATATTAATTTTTCGACAATGCTAAATTTATACTAGTAAAAAAGTATTTTGATTTATGTTATATTCGATTAGCTCTATGTTAATCTTATTTTAGTTCAAAATAAATTAAATTTATTTTGAATTAAATCAATGAACTATATACTTAAACACAATTTAAATAACTTTCAACTCTTATGTTTAGCTTATTATGCCTTATTTCATCTTGTTTTTGTGTTTGTTTGTTTGTTATTTAATTAAATGATTCCGCTTCATTTGATTAATTATATCCAAGACAATATTTGATTTTGATAGGCTTCCATTAGAATATTTAGTATGTAACTAAGTCTATAGATTTCACAATTTAATTTATATATTCAATGACTTTCAAATAAATGATATTTGAGCATATGAAATTTCAAATGAGATCATATAGTAAGAATATTTAGCTAACTAGCTGATAGTTGATAAGCTAGCTTATATTTTATTAGTAATTTTTGAACTTATACCTTATAGCTTATGACTTATAACTGAAAAGCTAGCTTATATGATAAAAGTGTTTGGTAAGCTCGGACTTTTTAAAAAAGTTCGTTCTACCAAACAAAACTTATTTAATACAAGAACCTTATAAACCTTATAATCTAACCAAATAAGTTATAAGCTAGCTTATTTGTCTACCAAACATAGCTTACAACATCTGGTATTGATCATCTTCGCATAATATGTTAAATATTAGTATCTTACAAATAGATTCTTTGATATTTATAAGTTTTTTTTTTCTTTGCAAAATTGATAATTATATTGTTGTTAAATAACTACCTTCATAAATTAAATAGCGACAATAGAAGTGTTAGAAAAGACAGTAAAGCCAACTATGGGACGCATTTGTTGAGGCCCAATAAGCCATACCCACTCTGTTTCAGATAAATGCAGGATCCACGAGGCCCAAAATCCAGTAGATAAATCTCATAATTATATATTATATGAATTGAATTAATTCGGTATTTTATATCGCATATATAGCCAATGGGTATATCACTATATTCACGCTACTCTACATTAAAAGATGGAACATCAATAAGTACATAAGTACATAACACATTACATAAATTTATATAACATTCTACTATACAAGTAAAATATACCATAATTTTTTGATAATTAGGTGATACTATTGCATTAACGGATGATTGATAATTTATTTGATTATTTGGCAGTTAATTGTAGTGGCATATATCTGAGAATTTATTTGATTAGCTTATTTGACTAGATTATTTCTCAGTTTGTGTATTGACATTTGGTAGACAACTATAGCTGAGCAGATACTTAAACGTAGAAAATGACTAAAAAATTAATGGTTAAAGTTATCGAATTATGTTCAATTTTTACTAACAACTAGTTTTTGTCCCGTGCATTTGCACGGAAAACTATATGATACATGAAAAATAATAAAAATTATAAACAATAGTAAAAATCATAACAAATTCATTGAAAAAAATTAATAAAAAAAATATAAATATTCTTAAACACTTCTTTATAAAACAACGTCGTGGTTTTTCTATCGTCAAAATCTCCCTCAGCTCAAATCAAAATCTTCAAACCCCACTGACTCGTAACTTTAAAAAGCGCCACGTATAATTGCTCGTGACTAAATGCAGAGCTCTTCAGTAGTAAGCCGACGTGCGACAGACTGTCTTTGACTCTTATTGATCATGTCATAGCATAGAAAACACTTCTTTATATTGTTTGTCCTCGACTCTTATTGATTGATAGAGATTGTCCTTGCTTCTTAATAAAAAAATACTATCTAAATATAAATGAGTAAATATAATATTAATTTTTTATATAAACAAAAAATTTAAAGTAATTGATAATGAGTATAGAATTACCCTTGCGGATTCAAGTTATTTCAACGATGTTCTTTTTATATATCTAAGATTTAATTTTTTTTCTGATTTATATGAATATAAGCACATTTGACTAATTTTTATAAAATTTATTGAAAAAAGTTACTATCTTTTTGAAAAACTGATAAGATATTAAGATAATTCTGTACTTAACATAAATGTGAGATTAATTAAAATAAATCTTTTTAATTTAGTCATTAACTAATTAAATTTTAACTATAAAAAACCTTCTTAAATGTGAGATTAATGAGTAATTAATTAAAAAAGATGTAACTCCTTTTGGAGGGAAAGTGAAAATATTTTTATTAAATGTTTTATTAAATGGGATTAGCTAGCAATTATATATATATAGATGTTGATATATGTAGTGATTAAAAAAATGTATTATAACATTTACACAGATTAAAAGATAATTTTGTTTTATTTCAATTCATGATTTTCTCTCACTACAAAAAATATCATATTGTGGCGGAAAATTAAAAGGTAATATATTCTAATAAGAATTTTAATCGATTTTTTAGTGGTGTAAATTTCGCTAGAATTTTTAAATAGATAACGAAACTAAAATATTTCGTTATAATTTATATTTTTATTGGAATTTTAGTTAAAATATGATGATTTTCAACAAACATTACCTAATGGCTTATTGTCGACGGAACTTTCATTGAATTTTGTAATTTCACCATCCTTGAAGAAAATATTGTTGAAATTGTTAAAATCCAACAAAAATTCTAATAAAAGACAAGTTGGAAATTCCAACGGGGTAATAATATTGGTACATCCATAGAAATTGTCATTGAAATTTCATCATTTCTTATAGTATGTACGTATAAATAATTTTTAAAATTTATAAATGTATCAGTTATAAATATATTATACTTTTTTGGANGACAATTAAATAAATGATAACATAATTTAAAGAAAAAAATAAATATATATAAATATATATTTGAAGCTTCATATGTTGATTATTATTTTTGTTTTAATATATATAAAAATTAATTTTCAATTTTCTTTTCATAGTTGCCTCTTCTAAAAAAGTTGGTATACACACCTTTTTTTTTAAAATCAATTTTGTGGATCCAATAAGCTAATTGAATACTCTGTTTGCCGAATACCTACATGAGAAGTTTGACAAATAATGAAATAAAACACCTAATTCTATTATCAAACCTAATCATACTTTGGACTCATAAGATTGCTTACCAAACTTGGCCAATCGTGAATATTCATGAAACGATAGTGAGAATAATGAATGATTCAATGCTCCAAAATACATATTTTTAACACCCATAGGCCTCGTGGATTGGACATGATCAGTTTTATAATGGAACGTTATCATATGTTCCCTTACTTTGATAAGATCCTGACTTTTTATCATAAGCCCGATGAGCTGGGGAAGTCTATGACTTATTAAGTTAAAGTATTTATCCGAGTTATGCTTAAAAAATATAGATTCCGAGGAGTTGAGCCCTCGAGTTTCCACTGAAAAATCTACTCTCCTTCATCATCCTTATATCAAGTGGGGAAGTCTATGCGATGTTTTTATTCCTTATAATTATTGTGATTATTATGGTTGACGTATATTTCATGAATGTTTCCGCCTCTGAGACGGCGAAGTATTTACCCTGCTAGTGATTGGAGTGCCTATGAGATGGCTAAATAATCACATTGCTAAGGATTGGCAGTGCCTATGAGACGGCGAAAAAATCACTCTGCTAGCAGGGCCGGACCTGGGCAGGGGCCAGTAGGGGCACGGGCCCCTGTGCAATTTTTTTACTAAATTAGTACATATATAATTATATTGTAAAATAATTATAGAGAAATTTTGTTAAAATTTGACTTGTTTGCACTTTATATTCGTATTATGTTGTAGGCAACATATATAAATAAGTTAAATCAATTTTCCACAAAACTCAACATTGATTTTGATACATATTGAATTTTAGGTGTTCTTAAAATTAAAATTAAAAGTTTAAAACTAGCTACTAAATTGTGTTTCTCATTAATTTTTTAACTAATAAAATATTTATCTTTATTATAAAAAAGTCCACGGATGCTGACGTTGTAAGATTATCCAATGCAAAAGAAAAAAAATGTTGGTATTTGAACGAGATTTGAACTCATGTAATTATGAGTGATATAATAGATAAGAATATGCAGAGAATAATATATCATTTTTTTTTGCACTTTGTAAATGTTAGGTTTGTGCCCCCTCAGTTTTGTGAGTCTGTGTCCGCCCTTGTCTGCTAGTGATTGGCCTTGCCTATGAGACGGCTAAATAATCACATTGCTAGTGAGTGGTAGTGCATATGAGACGGCGAAATATTCAACTTGCTCATTTTATTTGTATTGCATGCTAAAATCATAGTATCCTTTAATTATCTTGAATAACTGCATAGTATAGGCTGAAGGTGAGCTAGTTGTTTTGCTCACCCTCCCACAATTTACCATTTTCAGGTTGAGCAGCTGATCGTAAACACGGGAGGATAATGGTGGTCTTTATTAGCTTTATGTTATGTTATTTCGCAAAATATTTAAAAACTCTTATTTATTATCATGCTTTGTGAGCTTGATTGAGTTTGAACTTTTAAAACTATGTTTTCAATTTAAGATTAAGTATTTTGCACGTTCTACTTGTTTAAAATTAGTTGAGAAAGTTATGAGAATTTGGGATGTGTTTTCCCTATGAAACCAAGTGTGAGACTTGGGTTAAGAAAAGAAAAATGAAAGAAAGACGTGCTAGAAAGATTGAGAAAAGAAAAGAAAGAAATAAAAGTTTTAGAAAGTTTTGAAAGAAAGGTTTTTAGCAGTGCCCAAGAAAATGTTTTATTTTGAAAAGGTTCAAATAATTTTTTAAAAATCCTAGTATTTTTTAAAGATAAGTAAGCTGGCGCTACATGCACAACTTCTTACGTCTTGAATAATCTAACGTGGTCCTGATAATACATTACATAACATTAGACCCAATCAAATTCATAATTAATGCAGTAATAAAACAGTAAATATGTGTAGCTTAAAAAGTGTACTTGACTTGAGTAAGTTGAGACGCAGTCTTCTTATCAACTTTCTCCCACACTGTATCGAGTTAACCAGTCGACGTGTTAAGCCACTGGTTTAACACAACGTGCACACTCTCTACCCTACACGAGATTGTGTTACCACATTCGTCTAAACTTTGACAAACTTTTCCTTATGGACTAACCATGTGTGCTTCACATATTATAACACTTTCTAAAACCTCTTCCATGGGCCATGCATTCCAGCTATGGCACTGTAGTATTTATCATTCGTTTCTGCTTCAACAATCTTTTTCCACCTGCCGTGTGTGAACTTTTAAGCGATATTCCTATCTTTTCCAAACAATCGATAGACTTTGTCTTTCACTTCCTTGTTGATGTGCCCCGTGCAAAGTAAGTGGGCAGATTTTGAAAAAATCATCCGAATAGGACTCATTATTCCCAACTCTCTGTCGGTGACAATAGATGTAGGATGTACATCAGACACTATCAAATATCTCAACATCGGTAGAACCCAGTGATAGTTGTACTCACTCCCGTCCTTCATAATTGCATATGCAATTAAGAAGTTCTTGTCGCACGACGTCATCCCAACAATTTCCATCAATGGCATCATGAAGAGGTAACCAGCAACAAGAGTAAACATTGAATTAACAAAAATACTCAAACATACTAATAAAGATTCATACTAATTTGTTATTTATAAGGTAACATATCTATTGGTTTTGTACGTTGAATCTATACCGATGTACCAGTAATATGTCTAGAATATGTTGACTGTTTCAGAATGCGACATGAACAGATGTGTCAACGCCTGTGTCTCCTCATCAACATATGTATAAACTATATATTTGCTCTCCAAAGCCAAGTGCAGAATCTGGGTAGCCGCATCTCTACCTCGAAACTATCTCTCCGCAATCGATCTCTATAGTTATACACGTCGTCGAGTGGCGTTGTCTTTCAGATGTTTTTCCTGGATTGCAGCCAAAATTATTGTTGGTTTTGCTTGAGCAGCAGTCATATCATGCACAATATCTTTAGATGAAGTGCTAAGTCCACTCATTTGTTGATAACCCTCAGGATATACAGCCAATGCATGACTATGCATTCCCCCAACACCAGGACTTACACAGATCCCCCAAGATGTAGATTGTGTCAGTTGTTGGACTGCTATCCGAACGGGCAACTGCAAGCTTTTGTCTTTGAACTTCTGGCAACTCAGTCTAAATCTCCAAAACTGTCTCTATAACGTTTATCTCGCGCATACCTCAACAACTTCATCATTCCACCTTTTTGGTGTGAATAAATGACCAATTCAAAATCATATTGAACTGACGCTTCTTTTGCCCATGTAATAGCTTCTGTATCACTATAAAATACTTTTTCCGCAACGAAAACAAAACTGTAATCAATACCGCCTCCTCCAAAATCTTCGAATGACACCTGCAAAGTATTGCGATGTTAATAATTTTACAAGATAATCAGTTCTAATTTATAACATAATAATTTTTAATTTATGACATAATAATTCTAAGTTCTAACATAATAATAATAAATCCTACAAGATAACCAATTCTAATTTATGACATAATAATTTCCAAGTTCTAAAATAATAAATAATAAATTCTATAAAAATAGTAAATTCTAATTTATAACATAATAGTATCTAAATTCTAACCTAATTTCTATTATAAATAATATTTTGATTACTACAAAAAATTCGCCCGGCCGGCCGGCAGCACGGTAGCGATCGGCTAGCGATTGCGGCCGATCATGTGGTCGGATGGCCAAGTGGGCCAACCGCCAGCTTGAGCGGCCCCCGAACTCTTTGTACCTCGTCACTAATTTCACCGGAAATCGCCGGAGTTTCAGAGGATTTGCAATTTTTGAGTTTTTGAAAAAAATGGCAGGGGTAAAAGATGAATCGTAACACCCAAAAAATATCATGCAAAAAAATGATATAAATATTAAATAGCCATCAAATTGGGTTCAAGATATTTATAGGAGGGTCGATTTCAAGACTTGTGAACAGAGGATATATATGTATAATTGTTATAATAATGGTGCATGCACCTCATGAGGTGCATAAATATATAAAATAATATATGTGAATAACTATTTTACCCTTGATGTAATTGTATTATTACGACTGTGCCATCAGAAGTTTTTCCAATAAATAGGGGCTTCAGTTATAATGAATAAAAACACACCAAAATAATACAGTTTCTATATTCTCAATTCTCTCTAGTTTTATAACACGTTATCAATACGAGTCTCTACCCTCTAGAGCTTGATTTGTAATACGAAGAGAGTATGCTCTACAGTTGCGTCTTATAGACGATCTTCTGTATCAGAAATCATAATATTACAAGTCGTTATTGGAAATATTCTTCAAGGTATTTATTTTTCTTTCAATTATAAATAATAAATTTATAATCTCCTATTTCATAATGTCTGATATTACTAAAAGAGAATTTGCTGAGCTCTCTCTTGATGGGAGTAATTATTTAACTTGGGCCCTTGATGTTGAAATTCATTTGGCCTCGTTTGACTTAAGTGCCACAATTGATTATACATCCAATAGTACTCCCGCCCAGAAGGCGAAAGCATTAATTTTTCTTCGTCATCATCTTAATAAAGGTTTGAAAAATGAGTATCTCACAGAAAAAGAAGCCGCAAATCTTTGAAAATCCCTGAAGGATCGATTAGACCAACAAATGGCTATAATCCTCCCTCAAGCACAATTTGATTGGATTAATCTCCACTTTCAGGATTTTAAATCTGTTACTGAATATAATTCAGCCCTCCAATGTATTGTCTCACAGCTTGAGAAAACTTTATCTACCTTTCATGCTAACAAACCTTGTACTCCAGCAGCAGTACATGGCTAAAAACTATGCAACACATTCTGAGCTAATTTCCGCTTTGTTAGTGGCCGAAAAACATAATCAATTGTTGATGAAAAATCATAATTCTAAGCTAATTGGGACTCAACCAGTGCCTGAAGCACATGCAAATATTCACGAGCATAATAATATGCAAGGAAGAGGTAGAGGATATCATAATCAGCCACACCGTGGTGGTCATGGTCATGGTCGCGGCCGCGGTCGTAATCATGTCTGGACTCGAGGTGGAGGACGAAATAATGGTGTTGAGGAACAGACGGGTCGGAAAGAAAATCTTAACATTGATGCTCTACAAGCTAATCAAGATAAGCAAGTTTGCTATAGGTGTGGATGCACTGGTCATTGGTCCCGTACATGTCGTACTCCTCGTCACCTAGTCGAAGCTTATCAAAGAATGCTCAAGGATAAGAAAGGAAAGGCTCCTCAAGCTGAATCACATCACGCTAGTTTGCCTGAAGCAAATTTAGCAATAAATGATGATGATGATTTATTGAAACTCGAGCTGGAAGACTTTGGTGATATATAATGTGCGATTTAATATGTATTCTGTCTGAGTACTGGATATTTTTATGTTTGTTTTATTATGGTTTCTTTTGTTCCATCAGAAAATTACGGTTTGTTTTTGTTATTTGTATGTTTTCATATGTTGTGTTTTGATGGGGATTGTGTCATTATTATGTTTGCTTATAATATTTTATCTTTCTTTTTAGTGTGCTATTAACATTTAATAGTTTGCAAGTCATGGAGAAAGAGAGTATTTTATGCCTGGTCGATAGTGCTACTACGCACACTATTTTGAAAGATCGAAAATCTTTTCAAACTTTAAATGAAAAGAAAGGGAGTGTTACTACAATTGCTCAAGATAAAATCTTGATAGTGGGTTCCGACAGAGCTTTACTTACTCTTCTTAAGGGTACCGAATTAATAATTAACGATGCACTTTTGTACCCTGAATCACAAAGAACACTCCTTAGTTTTAAAGATATTCGATCAAATGGTTTTCATCTTGAAACTAAGACTGAAAATAATATAGAATACCTTCTTATGACTCATTCACAAGGAAGTCAAAAGAAAATTGTAGAAGAACTTCCCTCTTTCTCCTCAGGCTTATATCATACTTACATTCGACCTTCTATTAATCATGTTGCATTGAGCTTAAAATTTAAAGACCCAAATTCATTTAAATTATGGCATGAGAGATTGGGTCATCCTGGGCTTAGTATGATGCGTCGGATTATTTCTAACTCTATTGGGCATAATGTATCAAACAGCAACCTCCCTTCTTTTAATGAATTTATTTGTGATGCTTGTGCAAAGGGAAAATTGATATTAAGACCTTCACGTACTAAAGTTGGGATTAAATCTCCTATGTTTCTTCATAGGATTCATGGTGATATATGTGGACCAATTCATCCAACATCAGGACCTTTTCGATATTTTATGGTCCTGATAGATGCTTTCACTCGATGGACATATGTGTGCTTATTATCCACTGGAAATCAGGCTTTTCCAAAACTACTTGCTAAAATTATTGAATTAAGAGCTCAATTTCCTGATTATCAAATTAAAACTATTAGAATGGATAATGTCGGCGAATTTACATCAAACGTTTTTGATAATTATTGTATGTCATTAGGCATCAAAGTGGAGCATCCGGTACCTTATGTTCACACACAAAATGGTCTAGCCGAACCACTAATTAAGCGTATCAAATTAATTGCTAGACCATTACTACAAAATTCCAACTTACCAATTTCATATTGGGGACATGCAATTTTACATGTTGCTGCCCTAATTCAAATCCGACCTACTGCATATCATGATTACTCCTCTATACAAATAGTGCGTGGTAAAGAACCTAACATTTCCTATCTGCGAGTATTTGGTTGTGCAGTATATGTTCCTATATCACCACCACAGCGTACATCTATGGGCCCTCATCGAAAGCTCGGTATATATATTGGATATGAATCTCCGTCTATTATAAAATACCTAGAGCCCATGACTGGGGATCAACTTACAGCTCGATACGCTGACTGCATATTCGATGAAACGAATTTTCCGGCATTAGGGGGAGATAAAAGCCCAAACTTAAATAAATGCCGAGAAATTTCTTGGAATGTATAAAATTTACAATATTTAGATCCACGCACTAATCAAACTGAACTTGAAGTTCAAAAGATAATTAATTTGTAATATTTAGCAAATAATTTGCCAGATGCATTCACTGATCATAAAGGAGTGACCAAATCACATGTACCTTCTATAAATTCACCACAATGAGTGGAAGTCCCCAGGAAATATAATATTACTACAGATACTCTACGCCAGAAGCGTGGGAGACCGTTGGTACAAAAGATAATAATCCGCGGAAAATAAAATCTAATAAAAATATTGAATCACTCCAGCAATCTCCAGAAAAGAATCGTCCAGAAGACGAAAATCCTAGTCTAAATGCACGTGCAACAAATAATGAAAATACTAGGATTACGGAACATCCAGATCAAAATATATTGGGAAATGATGACGATCTGGTTGATGTAAATATTAAAGTAGCTATGAATTTTGTTGATACAGGAGAAACTTACAACAAAAGTAACAAAGTCGTCGACGACATATTTGCCTCTATAATTGCTCTTACCATCTCTAATAATTTGGATCCAGAACCTAAAACAATTGCACAGTGCCGAAAGCGCTCAGATTAGGTAAGATGGAAAGAAGCAATTGAGGCTGAACTAGACTCGCTAAATAAACGAAAAGTTTTTGGCTCTATTGTGCGCACCTCAAAATGTTATCCCAGTAGGATATAGATGGGTGTTCGTACGAAAGAGAAATGAAAATAATGAGGTGGTGAGATACAAAGCGAGATTAGTTGCTCAATGGTTTTCGCAGAGACCCGGTATTGATTTTGATCAAACATATTCTCCTGTAATGGATGGAATAATGTTCTGCTATTTGATATCTCTGGCAGTAAATATGAATTTAGATATGCAGTTAATGGATGTCGTGACCGCATATTTATATGGGTCATTAGACACAAATATATATATGAAAATCCCTGAAGGATTAAAAGTTCCCGAAATAAAGGGAAATGAAACACGCAACATGTATAGTGTTAAATTACAAAAGTCAATATATGGCTTAAAACAGTCGGGTAGAATGTGGTATAACCGGCTGAGTGAGTTTTTGTTGAAAAATAATTATGTAAATAACGATGTGTGCCCTTGTGTATTTATAAAGAAGTCAAAGAATGGTTTTTGTATCATTTCAGTTTATGTCGATGACATAAATGTAATTGACACACAAGAAGAGCTTGATAAAGCTAGCTCATGCCTAAAGACGGAGTTTGAAATGAAAGATTTGGGTAAACCAAATATTGCCTCGGCCTGCAGATCGGGCATCTCCATGAAGAAATTTTTGTACATCAGTCAACATACTTGGAGAAGGTTTTAGAAAAAATTCTACATGGATATATCTCATCTACTTAGCACACCAATGGTTGTCCGATCCCTTGAAGCGGATATGGATCCATTTAGACCTAAAGAAGATACCGAAGAAAATTTAGGACCAGAAGTTCCTTACTTAAGCGCCATAGGTGCGTTACTTTATCTTGCAAATTGCACCAGGCCTGATATTGCATTTGCAGTAAACTTGCTAGCAAGGTTTAGTGCTTCTCCTACGAGGAGACACTGGAATGGAACTAAACATATTTTTAGGTATCTTCAAGGTTCACAAGATCTTGGTTTATTTATAAAAATAATCAAGATATGACATTGGTGGGATATTCAGATGCTGGCTATATGTCTGATCCCCATAATGCATGCAGGTCTCAGACTGTTATGTTTTTCTCTGTGGTGGTACTGCAATATCTTGGAAGTCGGTCAAGCAGTCCATGGTTACTACATCTTCAAATCTGTAGCGCCCGTTCGTTTATGGAATATTTTGGATTTTAATTAATATTATTGTCATTATTATTATTATTTTTATTATTGTTATTAATATTTTATTTAAATGCCTAATTGTCTATTAAATGCTAAAATGTGTATTATTATTTAATTAATAATGTGTGAAATATATTTTATTATAATAGCCGAGTTTTATCTTATTTTAAATTATTGTGCGAAACGAGCCAGTTTTTATTTTGGCTAAGTCGATCGAAAAGCCGAGAGAACCGCACCCCGACCCAACCAAAACCTGAACCGATTTTTCCCTCCTTGTGTGTTGCGTGTGTGTGGTTTGAAGGGAAAAGAAAAAAAAAAAAGAGAGAACCCTAGTCTTATATTTTTGTTCACGTCTCTCACTCATCAGAAAAAGAAAACGCCGCCGTCATATATCTCTCCTTCTCAAATCGGATTTGCGCTCTCTCACGCCAAAACGCCGCAGCTTCTCCTCCCTCCCTTCTCCTCCCGTCGTGTCTATTCACAACGAGAATCGCCCGTCGCCATAAATCTCTCATCTTCTCTCACAAGAAAGCTCCATCACGCCATCACCCTTCCTCACCGCCGCCTGCAACTGCACCTCCGCGAGCCGCCGTCGCTGCTGCACTCCTCCGCGAGCCCTCCTCCTCCGGCGATACACCCAGCAGCAGCGCGCCTGAGATTCCCCGAGTCCAGCAGTGACGTCTTCTTCCTGTTCGTGCGCACCACCAGCCCCATCGTGCGATTAACTCCAGCCCTTCGATCGCCCGTCGTCCCCTCAGTTCATCGCCGGGACCATCTGTGCGGGATTCCTCTGTCCGGGCAAGGATTCTTCCAGTGAGCAGCCCTCCGTTCACGTGTCGCAGGGAAGGCTCGAGCACCTCTTTTCCTGATCAGTAGTGGCGTCGTTTGCACAGACGACTCCCGACCAGCCTGAGAGGAAACCACGTCCAAGACCGACTCACCTGCCGAGAAGAAAAGCCGGACAGTAGCAACAACCCTTTCTAGCTCGTGCGAGAATAACGACAGCCGTTCGAGGCCTTTATTGGACACCGAGGGCCCCGACGAGCTCGTGACCCAGCAGCAGCAACGCACTTTCTCCTCCCATGCGACGAGCTCTCCTCTTTCGCGAGACGAGTTTTCCGTCGAGCCCGTTCGAACCCTTCTCGCCCGATTCTTGAGAACGGTATCGAGACCCGTCTTCCCATTTATTTTACGTAATTATCGTTGTGTTATATGATGATATGTGAATTCGTATAAGTTATGTGATTATATGTTCGATATATGTGTTCAATTAGAGAATATGTGAAAATCGTGAATTTATATGAAAGATATGATTTTATGTGTCGTTTATGTTGTTCGGGATCTCTTCAATTATAAGAAATTGAACGAGACCTCGAAAGTCATGTAAGTCAGTGGATATTGGAACAAAGTCGAGTCCTTGGTCTTACGAGAAGGCCTCGGACGAGAAATTTCATGTTATGAATTAATTGCTAAGTTATCGAGCATATATGTTGCTGTTTTGGTGTTTGAATTTTTAAAAATCGCACACTGCTCGGAATGACTTGAAATTTTGAGGGATATGTTATCTGTTCATTTCCAGCCTTGTGTAAAAATTTCGTAATTTTTAGAGGCCTGTAGCTATTTTTAAAAATTAAAGTGAATTCTGATCAGAATATTATTTAATGCTTAATAAATTGTTTTGTAATTCAAATGATCTGAAATTTTAGTATGTTGTGCTACTGGTGTGTTTGTGTGCTGTGTTAAGTTTTTAGAATTTTTGGGTTGAATTTGATATGGTTAATGATTTGTTTTCTGTTTCTGCTGAAAGTTGTATCAATTATTAAAAATCGTTTCTTCGTTGAAAAATTCTGAAACTTGATGAGATGCTTACTTTATTTGTATATTCATGCTGTTAAAGGATGGGAATTTGTAGAGTTCAATTTAATTCAGTTTTGATTTAAATTCGATAACTGCTGAATCTTGTCGGAATTTTTAAAATTAGCACAGATAATGTCCAGGGCTGAGATTTTTACATGTTGTCTATATCCTGCTGTAGCTTGTAAGTTTAAATTTTCAAGTCCTGATTCATTCATTAGGTTCAGATATAAATTCATGTGCGTTTTTGCTGAATTCTTGTAGGAATTTTATAAATTTATGTGCTTTGAGTTTGAAGCTGAAATTTTGTGGTTTTACTAATTTCTGGGAGATGTAATTTTGGGCAAAATTTCAGAGCTTAAGTCGTAGGTTAGCCTGACCATATATTTTCATGTGATTAATGATTACTATTTTCAAAACATGATTTTGAAATGAAAAGTTGGGAATCGACTTGCTTTTCGTTTTGATGTGAGTTTGACTTGGTCAATCCTTAAATGGATTTATGTGAATTCCCTTATGTGGTTTGGTCGGGTTTAGTGCCGAGTCTTAATGTTCCAACATCCACAGAACTTCACGAACTACTTAGTCGAAACAAGTTCGACTAGGTCTGTTTTGTGTTTTCCTTTTTAAGTCAAGATATTTATTGTAGGACCTTGACTTAATGTAGGTGTTTGAGGAGTCAAGCCTGGACCCACGTCTTTTCTGATAATTGCTATCGTCCATCCGAATTTTCAGGTGGGTTGTTATTCTAAAATTATCTGTGCAATGTGTGTTTAAATATGTGTTTCCGTTTTGGCGTGATCTATGTATGAACGTGAATATGTAGCCTATCGATGTGAGCTATTATGATGGCCATCGTTACGGTTGTCCCCGTCGATGTAATACGGTTGCCTTACGAGGCAAGTCTCCGTAAAGACCTATTATGAAAGGCCGTGTCCTTGCGTGGCATGTACTCTCGCCGTTAGGGTAATGAATCCCCTTTCCGCGACTATTATGAATGATGTGCACAGGAGTACTTATGTTATGATGGAGATGTGACATATGTGTATTGTTTGTGTTCATGCTGCGACCATGCCAATTTGACATATTATAAAATGTGCATTGCATAGTGTGAGTACGATATGTTAGTGTTATTTTTGTTATGTTTTTATTAATGTTTTTTATTATTATTTTTATGTATTTTTAGTAAGTTTGTGGGATTTTGGGTAGTTTTTAGTTTTATTTTGTAATTTGTAATATTTAAGTATTTGTGTGGAATTTTGTATATTTTTCTTGTATTTTTCGAGTATTTGTAAAATAAAGGAACGGTCGAAAATCTCGGAAGAGCAGGATTTTGGAAAGTTATTGATCATGATAACATTAATGGAAAGAGGAGCTTGTTAGCTACACACAGGAAAAAGCGGAACTCGATTTCGAGTTCGGATGAGTTCGTACGGAACCAAAGAGTAAAATCGAGCGAGTTGCCGACACCTTGGAAGTTAAAAATCCTTAGATAATTGTATTCTGGGTGAAATTTGTATTGGCATACATCATTGAATAGAGGGGTTCGTTAGCAACGCGTAGAAAAAAACGGAACTCAATTCCGAGTTCGGACGAGCCCAAAACGAGCCCGAGAAGCAGAGCTGCCCGAGACGTGCGCGAATGCGCGCGGAAAAAGCACTCTCGGATTTTGTCCGAAAATTCCAACCTTTCTCTCATTTTTCCTATCTTCTTTCACCTTTTCTTGCATTTTTCTTGGTGGTTGAAGTATTGTTGAACTTTGGTTGATGTAGTTGATGTTAATATGCTATTTATATCTATAAATAGCAACATTATCATCAAACAAAATAGCATGAATTTTTTCATATAATTTTATCTTTCCACATTTCTATTTTTACTACATTTGTAAGTTTGAATTTGTTGAAGTTTGGACATTAAGTTTGTACTTGCTCTAGCTTGTGGATTACTAGTAAGTTTTCTTTTTATTTTATGTTTATAATGGTTTATTTACATAAGAATTTGTATGTTAAAATTACTATGAGTAACTAATTTCCTAACTAGGGTTAGGGGATAATCGTTTCGGTTTATTATCGTTTATAAGTATTTTTATTGCTCAATCTTTACAAATTTTATTAATATTATGGTTAAATGTTTGATCACCATTTTAATCTACATAATCGATTTCATAACCGAAAGGGGCGAAGTTGATAGAACTTGATTTGTTTAGAATAGACATGTTCGGAAACGTATTGTTTATGTGTTAACCGTTCCACTAATTCATTTATTTAAGTTTATTCGTATATTACGAGAGTTAGTACGGATAAACCTCTAGATGAGTAAATTAAGTGAATCGTTTAACTGAGTAATTTAATTACCGATAAATGTTAATAAAACAGGAATTGATTATCCCCAATACCCTAGACTTTTACATTTATTAAAACTTATCTTTATCATTTTAGTTATTCTCTTTTCTTCCTTAAAACTTTATAGTTTGAAAGTATTTAACTAGTAGAACAATTTATTTGTTTGAAAGTTTTTACTAGTAGAACAACTTATAGTTTGAAAGTATTTAACTAGTAGAACAATTTATTTGTTTGAAAGTTTTTACTAGTAGAACAAATTTTAGTTTGAAAGTATTTACGAGTAAAACGATTTTATCGTTAGAAAGTATTTACTAGTAAAACGACTTTATCATTTGAAAGGTTTTCCGAGTAAAATGATAGCATTTATGTTACTTTTAATTTAGTTTAAAACCTCATTATTAAATTGAATTAGAATGTTTAGGAATATTTTCTCTTTTGTGAATTGAATAAACATACAATTTAATCCGGCTAACCTTCCTTAGAGAACGACCCGAGTCGGGTAACTCGGTTATTACTTGCCCAAAAATATTACCAACACGATAGTTAACTGTACTCACTCCCACCTGCTCGTAACTGATGCAGGTTAAGCAGTGGCGCGTGACGAGACAAGACGGGTGGTGGTCATTGCTTATTATGCTTATTTATTATGCTTATTAAATTGCTTCCGCTTATTTATGGACTATGTTGGTATTGAACTTGTTTGGATTGGATTTTGAACTTGTTCATTTTGGAAAACTTTCGGATTTGGTTTACGATGAAAAACCCTACTTGATATATGATTGAGTATGATCTGATGTTAAATTTATCGATTTGTGGTTAATGAAAACCGTTGAAAAATCGGGTAATGAATCCCCGTAGTTCAGTTATGACTTGAACTGTATTTATGAAAGGAATGAGTAACATCAAAAATTTATGATTCGAAAAATAAGTTTCGAAAATTTTTACCTTGATTTTTGGAAAAGCCATGGATTTTCTTTAAAAATCGATTGGGGCGTTACAAAATCACTCAGAGATAATTGCTTTATACGAGACTTCAAAAGAATGTGTATGGTTAAGATCTTTAATCCAACATATTTGGAATTACAAATGATATAACCTCCACTATTCTTTATGAGGACAATACAGCTTGTGTTTTACAAATGAGTAGTGGGTATGTCAAAGGAAGCATGAAAAAGCACATTGCTCCAAAATTCTTTTATCCACACGAGCTACAGAAGAACGGTGATATTATTGTACAAAAATTACGATCTAGCAAGATTTTGGCAGATCTATTCACCAAACCCCTTCCTACATCTACTTTTGAAAAATACATTTATGGTATTGGTTTGCGTAAACTAGGAAGATTATTGTCTTCAAGGGAAGGGTCAAACTCAAAATAATCCAGAAGATTAGGTCCTGAAGACCAAATGTTGTACTCTTTTTCCCTTAGCTGAGGTTTTGTCCCATTGAGTTTTCCCAGTAAGGTTTTTAATGAGGCAACAGAGATGGAATATTCATATGAATAGTATACTTTTTTTCTTCATTAGGATTTTGTCCCACTGGGTTTTTTTCTAATAAGGCTTTAACGAGACATATTCATGGTATAATGATAATTACTGGATAATTGATATAATTTCTCATGATAATAAGAAGATATTGGAGTAGTTGTACTCTTTTTCCTTCGATCAAGTTTTTCCTACTTGGTTTTTTTGACAAGGTTTTAATGAGGCAGCACGTGAATACTCTAATAAAAATAATCTATTTGAGGGGGAGCAATGTTGTGCTTACACAATGCTCAGGTTTTGTCCCAACGGGTTTTACTGAGGGAGCAATGGATTGATCAGGTTTTGTCCCTGTTAGTTTTCCTGACATGTTGAAGCATCGGTACTTGATGGACACAAGATACACTTCAAGATGTTCAGATTATGTTTTGTTCGAATAATGATAGTTAGAAAATAGTCATTCAAAGGGGAGTGTTATAATAATGGTGCATGCACCTCATGAGGTGCATAAATATATAAAATAATATATATGAATGACTATTTTACCCTTGATTGTATTATTACGACTGTGTCATCAGAAGTTTTCCTATAAATAGGGGCTTCATTTATAATGAATAAACACACCAAAATAATACAGTTTCTATATTCTCAATTCTCTCTAGTTTTATAACAATAATGTCCATGTCTGCCTATTCGGTAATGTAAACTATCCTTAATCAACTAAAATAAAGAAAGGAAAAAAATGGAATAATTAGGACACAAGGGTCACATACTTTAATATCCTCAAAATGCTGACGACGAGAAGATTCTAAAACATCAATCAAAATCACTTTGGATTAGGAAAGTTAGTGAAAAAAATGAGGAAACAATAAATAAGTAATTAATTAATGTTTAACACAAGTCTTAGGGCGTAGCTCACTCTTACTGGACACTGATTTCACCCCATTATAATAATGATTAAAAACACACAAGATATAGTAATAAGTATACTTAGTTGTACCCCACATTAATCAAGCCGAAAAAAGGCTGTCTCCCTCTAAATAATCAAAAGCTTAGAGTAAATAATTAACAACCTTTGGCCCACGCTAAACACGTTTTATACGTGGACCTTCTTATGACCACCACTTCACAGTTGATACAGATGATACTCAATATATTTTGGCTTTATCACAATTCAAATTATTTGATAACTATACAATAATGCTTGAAAATAACCTTCAGTTATATGTGTGACGGCAAAAGTAGATTTTTGTCCTGTAAATTGCCAAATATCATCCGTTTGATATTTTGTTTTCTAATTATGTCTGTTTTGTTAAATTTGGTTGTTGCTAAAAGAATAAAAAATAAAACATAGAGGTTCGGTCATGTGACAGGCTATAGACTTGCCAGTGGCATGACAAAATTGTTATATTTTAATTTAATATTTGTCCCACTTTGAATATATACCTAAATGTATTAGTTTTTTCAATATAAATAAGTCTCTTACATTTGAGTTACAAGTACACCTTAACTGTTTCTATCATATAAGAAAAAAAATCTTAATTACAAAAATCTTAATTTGTAAATTATTTAACTTTAATTGTATTTTGTTGGTGATTTAGCAGTGACCTTGGCGTTGCGGTTGGCGGTACCCAAAGACGTAGGCAATATTAGCTGAACTTCATTATTAATTTTGTAGAGGTGCCTTGAGACGTAAGAAATATTGGCCAGACTTCGTTATCATTTTTCTGTATTCTTTTTTCTTTCTCATTTTTTATTTATTTGTGTTGTGTTATTTTAGTTAGTAGTGGTGCTTATCATTATTTGTTGTGAGAGTATTTTTGTTCGTTGCGCTTGTTGTTATACCCCCAACAAGTGGTATCAGAGTATGCAAAAATAAAGTATTTCATGCAAGAAAAAAGCATGCATATTGATCTTTGTTGTTACTTTGTGCGGGAGATTCTAGAAGATGAAAATATTGTTCATGTAAGAACAAAATATATTGATGTTCGATATCACTTTGTCCATTGAAATATTGTATTGAAGAAGATCACGATGGAGAATCCTGCAGATATGATGACCAAGGTTGTGACAACAGTCAAGTTTGAACATTATTTAGACTTAACCAACATTCTTCATAATTGATACATTACCGAGAGGCGCATTTAGAGGCAGCGTCGAGAATTGGATGGACGAGTTGAAGTGGAAGAGAAAATTAGTCAAGATTAAATATTGTTAGATTTTGACTTAATGTTTGTCCCACATCGAATGTATGTCAAAGATGTGTAGAATCTTTTTAATATAAATATGTCAACTGTTTTTGTGTTGCAATTACACCTTATTCTCTCGTTCATATCTTATGAGAAAATCCTTAATTAATGAAATCATAATTCATGGGTTATTTGACCTTAATTATATTTTGTTGGTGAGTTTTGGTGAATTTGACGTTGTGGTTGTCGGTGCCTGAAGACGTAGGCAATGCTGCTCGAACTTTTTTATCAATTTTGTGTGTTCTTCTTTTTTCTCATCTTTCATTTATTTGTGTTGGTTTATTTTTGTTAATTGTAGTATTTGTCATTATTTGTTGAAGAGTTTACTGTGATACCCCCGACTAATCTCTATTTTTTTGTTACAAAATCCAATTAATTGTATTTCTTTGTTACATAACCAATTATAATTGTAAAAAAGAACGATAATTAGAGGACTAAATATCAAACAAGCCGCAATTATAGGAGTAAAATTCTATTTTTTCTTAAAGTGATTTGTGCCATCTCAGAAAAAACGATTGCAGGTTAAAATTTAAGACAAAATATTTTGCATTAATGTTAAGGAAAAAAAATGAATAAAAGTCGATATGCCCAAATCACTATTTTTTAGTTACTAGTACAGAGCCCATGCGATGCACGGAGTGCACAATTTTAAGGCTATTAATCCAGACTTATAATTATATACATGAATAAAGAAAAATGTACGGGATATATATAGTACGTGACCCAAAGCACGAGATATAATTATTTGGAGAATATTATATTATAAGATGCAATATTCAATAAAAGTTTATAATACGCAAGAAAATTGTACAATGTTCAAAAGTTTTATAATATTCAAGTGGAGTCTTAAAGTCTCTTGTACATTAAGACTACTGACAAAATAATATTTTAATCAATGAGTTTCCTTTCCTTGTAGCCAAATTGTGAATGTGATTTGAGGAGTACAACAAATCGATATATAACTGACTTGGTTTTTTCGATGTAGTTTTTTTTCTTTTTTTTTTTATAATGAATTTGAGGAGTAACAGTTTTACTGATTGTTGTTCACCATATAATATTTAATTATTATTTTATTATATAATAAAAAAAATATTGTTAAATAGTGTAGTTGAATTGTTATAAAATTATATAATTTTTTTTTACAATATGGATTTAATATTTTTTTTTATGATTTGATAATATAAACAAATTTATACTTAACTTTGACAAATAAAATAAATAAAGACTTTAGTAAGTATTTAATGTATATACTAAATAGGAATATATTTGGTATAATCAAATACCAAATATAATCAAATAAGTCAAAGTGTATATTTTTATTTGGTATTTAATTTTTTTATTATTAAAATTTTTTTATTATACTTACCTTTTTAAAATAAAATAAATAAATCAATCAATTAAATAAATAAAATATTATAATACCAAAATAGTAATGATATTTAATGCAGTTGACTTTTCTGGATAGTAAATATAGTAAATAGAATCTCATTTTATATAAGTATAGATTGTATAATACAGAAATAATAATGCAATAAATGTTGTTGACTTTTCTTTATACTTAATCTGGTAAATGGTATATCTTTTAATATAAATATAGATTGAAGATTGTGGCTATGAATTCATCATGATATTTTCCCAACCGTACATGTAAGTAACCTGATTGACCATTTATCAAAACTTAGAATATCATATTTAGTACCTACAACCAAATTGTTATTTTTATTTTTACTATTAGTCCTCTCCTATATATATTTGATAATCACAATAAAAAGAAATAGATACATAATTTGAAATCGATAATAAAAACTCATATAGCTTGCTTGTTAACATTAAAAATCAAGTATAATAAAATTGAATATTGCAACTCGAGTTAATTTAATTCTTTTTACATCACCAAAGCTCAGGTAGATTCTGAAACTGGATAATTAAGATTTCACGCATACTATAGAGTATAGTGTAATGTTGGCAGTTCAAAGTCGTACATACACCAACTAGCAAACCAAAGTTTGACCCAAAAAAAAAAAGAAAAAGAAAAACAGAATAGTCAACTGTTCGTCAAAAACAACAACCAAAAAGGCCAATGAAAGAATTAACAAAAATAAAATTAAGTACGGTAAGCACAAATTGCCACATCACTATACAAGCACGTTTACCTTTTGCCAGGTGGATCCCACAATAAATTAAAAAAAAACCATAAATCCTTTGTGTTGTAACTTGTAAGATACCTAACTCAAAGTGTGAAACCAGCTCCCGCCACGTTGGCACCCACCCACCAAATCTCCTCAGCTTCCCCGCGTTCATGGCGTATCCCCAAAAAACATATATATACACACACCTCACTCAGTCAATCAAATTAATTAATTATCCAACCAAAAAACACAAAAAAATATCTTAAAAAAAAAATCTCTCTCTCGATGGATTCCAACCGCAACATCCACTCCGACGAGGAGGTGATCCTGGCCGCCAGCCACCCTAAGAAGCGCGCCGGCCGGAAAAAGTTCAAGGAGACCCGCCACCCAGTCTACCGCGGCGTTCGGCGCCGGAGCTCCGGCAAGTGGGTGTGCGAGGTCCGCGAGCCGGCGGAGCAGCGGAGGATATGGCTCGGGACTTACCCGACGGCTGAGATGGCCGCCCGAGCGCATGACGTGGCGGCACTCGCATTACGTGGCCGCCACGCAGCGTGCCTCAACTTTGCCGACTCGGTGTGGCGGCTGCCGGCGCCGGCGACGGCAGACCCAGCTGAGATCCGGCGGGCGGCGGTCGAGGCGGCGGAGGCATTCCGGCCGGCGGCGGCGGCGGAGGAGGCCGCCGGGGTAGGGGCTTCGGAAGATCAGAGGGCTGACGCGGGGTGGGGCGGGGAGTTTGAGGTGGCGGAGGGGGGTTTGGGGGCGCTGATGTCGCCGCCACGGTGGTACGA